TTAACCTGTTCAATATATTCTCATAATCTTTTTATCTCAATAACCTTTTAAAAATTTCCACCTTATTGAGAAGACTATAACTTTACCTTCTGAATTTGAAAAAAATTATCTTTTTAATTAACCTAATTAGCACCTGTATCACCCAAAAAGCTAAATAGATAATTCAAAAGTCTCAAGTTATATTTTTGCATCAATCTTTTTTATTCTAAAGTGCTAGGCAATTGTGCTTCCAATGACCTAATTTTTACAATATCTACAAATTTTTGGAAGTTATTAGGAAGGGTTCAGAGTGGACTTTGATTTTTATTCTAATTTTTGTCCTTCCATCTTATTAAGGGTATCTTAATGGCTAGTTATTATACCAATATGAGAGCTCAATAAAATTTTCATTTAAAAGTTCTTCAATTCAAAACATCAACATCTGCTCAATGACAGTAGGATTTTAATAGCCATAAGTCTTCTACAGCTTAACCAAGGAAGCAGAAAGGCTTACACAAAGAGTGCAAAAGGTGCAGCTCTCATAGCTACACACGTTCACTCTCAGAGAAAGGGCAGACCTCTTCATTACTCAGAAAGATGGAGTGTAGGCCACAATATGTGAGATGCCTCCAGCCACACCCCGCTCATTTGTGGCACCAGGCAGGTGCTACTGGAATGGGATTTTTTCAGCACTAACAAGCAACAAAAGTTTAGATGACAAATACCTTCTTCGTTTGTTTCTTAATAAACATCTTAAAATCAGTAACCCAAAAAGGTAGCTTCAGGGTGGCAAAACTTTGATCCCTTTATTAGTAAAAGCTGGAATGGCATAAAAACCAAGATAAATACCAAACTGGTGAGGGTAGCAATTAGAAACAACCATCCATCACCAGGAAGTATGGTCCCTGGTGAGTATTACAGTCTTTGTCCCTTTGTCTTGTCAATCATTAGTACCTGAATTCTCCTATTAAGAAAGTGCTATAACAGGGTCCTATTAGTGGAGAATAATTTTTGTAAAACTCCTGGGTCCTCTGTCTGCTCTGATTCTCTGTGCCTGTAAGTTAATTGCCCTTTAATAAATTCTGTTCTATCCTATGGAGTTGTCTGCATCATTCTTCAGTCTAAAGATACCTTTCATTAAAATGGCCATGACACCTTTGCCATATCGTGAGGCATTTACTATCTGTGCAAGTTACTTAGCTTCGCAGATGATCAGTTGCCTCATTAACTACAGGATATTTGATTCATTAAATCTGCTAAACTCTCCTTGGTCTGGCACCCTGCAAATCGCCAGCCACAGAAGGGTAAAAAGGCCTGGTTTCTGTTCTCTAATAGCTTTCAGTTTAATGCAAAATACAAACAAGAAAACTGTAATTTTCAATAAAGAGTGATTAGTGTTCATTGTCAGGGCAGTTTTAAAACCTACATAAACAAATATAGATATAAAATGGGCTTAATAAAATTCCTGGTACATCATAAAGTTAGTTCCATGTCCCCTTGAATGATTATAAACTTTGAGGGAAGTTATTTTATTCCTCCAAAACAAGACATTCTCAAATAGCCCACTTTCTAGCTAGCTCCCAACTTCCTGTCTTTCACCCTGGGACAGTGACTTGCAACAGCAGTCCTTCAGTAGATTGTGTTAAATGTTAATGTTGCAAACATTGCTTAACCTTGAGGATTAGGGTTCTTTTGAACTAGTTTCTCCACCCAGTTCATTTGATCGCTATATAATCAGAACCAGAGGGATCCCGTGCACACAGCAGGAACCCATCTCCAGGAACAAAGAGCTGGAAACCATCTTCAGTTGGAGGGACTCTTCCAGATTTTGGTAAGATTCTTACCCCTGGGTAGTCTATCGCTGTACTTTTTAAATATATACATACTATTTCTAGCCATTTAGCTATTTCAATGAAACAATTTTTCCCCCTTTAAAGCCTATGTGCCTAACTTATGAACTAAGAAAAAATGAACCAGATTCTAAAGTTTAAAATGAAAGCAGATTTCTTTTGGGATTGTCTATATGTCGCTGGATGAAGGGAGATTACTGAGACTGGGAGCAAGTGGAGGTTTAGGAGGAATTCACAAAGTCCTGGGGAAGCCATTAGCTGAAGGGCATTGGGATACCCCCAGGGAATAGGCATTAAATGTGGCAGAGCAAGAAAATAAACAAAAAGAATGCTTTTAGTTCTGTTTTCTTCTAATCTCTACAAATTTTGTACTTAAAAAAAGTTTTGATTGCTCTTTAAGAGCCAAGTGGAACACATCTAAGAAGTTACACTGGCAGGTTGAAGGGATGAAAGAAGGAAAAGAGATAAAGAGAGGAATATGCCTTGAGAGTTATGCTTTCACTTTGTGGGATATTGACCTAGAATATATAAAAGTGTGAAGTTACATGTATGGAAATTACAACCATAGTTACTTGTCATAGAGTGTAAGTTAAGTCCCTGGTGTGTAAAGTTGGACGAACCTCTTGAATACAAAACATTGCCTGTGGAGAGAGGAAGAGAATTCTTGTGAAGATTAAAGGATTGGTTTGAGACAGATGATAAAGTTAGTCTGAAGAACACTGAGGACATATTTCATTGACAAAAAGCTGACTGACACTTATGTGCTTGACTATGGAAGGTTATGTGTGAGTGAGTTTGATGACCAGATGTGAGGCTCTAAACCCTTGGCCTAGGCATTTCACCTCAGCACCACAAATGATCTGTCTCATACTTGTTTTCTCCCAAATTCATTTTTCCTCTTTTGGGGAAATTTAGGATTGAATATATGAGTGTGCAAGTTGTGAGTGGGGGAGCAGATATTAGATACTGGTGGCCATGGTGTGTACCAACTGGGCTTTGGTTTCTGGATGTCTTAGGGATTCAAGATTACAATAAGCCTGAGCAAAATTTAGCTAAGTTCTTACAGAACTAATGTGCAAATATTGCATGTTAAAAGCAAAGATTGTCCTTTACCTCTCCAGACAGGGATGTGAGGCCTTCAACCTCCATCGAGCAAGTTGCTTTGTAGGATATGAAGCCCCTGTGTGGCATCAGTCTAGGGCCTTAATTAGAGGTGGTGTGGGCTTTGCTAGTATGCTGAGCCTTAAGAAATGATACATCTCAGTGAAAGTGGATCACAGGTCTTCTTATCATCTATTTCTTTCACAAGGTGCCTTATGCTACCAACTAAACTTATATAAACTTGTCTCTGTAATTCCACTAGACTTTCGCTAATAAAACTAGAAAAGATTCTCCTATGCTTAATGAGAACCATGGAATTTCAGATTTTACAGTTAGCAACTCTCTCATTCTATAGATAAACAAACTTAAGCCTGGAAAGGAAAATTAAGTCAATCACTAAAAAAAAATTAAAAAATATTGAGGGTCTACTGTGAGGCAGGCACTGTGATTCAAGGTGCATAATATGGGCTCTGCCCTCCTGTAGAGTGTACACCAGTAGGAAACACTGAAAAGTAGACAGGTAATTGGATAACAGCTTGAAAATGGCACCTGTGGAAATTGGCAATAGGTTATAACTTGATTTTGTGATATTCTTGTGAGCAGATGGTGAGTTTTATGACTTTTGCTTTGACACTTGTATCTAATGGGGTATCCTTGGTCTCAATATCTAAGCACAGAGTGTTTGGACAAACTCTAGACAGGCCCAGCAGCTCAGACCCCCTTCTTTGAACAACAATATCCCCACAACCTGTAGAGCACTGGCACATCTTACAAGGACCCATGGTCTCCACTATAGCATGGAAGATGCTAGCAACATGTCTACCCACCACTGCCACATAATGACTCTTTTGGCTACTACAGCTCTGGTTCTACTTCCTGATTTTGAACTCTGGGTTTCTGGCCCCAGGCAGAGAGGTGTTGCCTTGGTGACCCTAAGGTCCTGTTCCATCTTGGGAATCTGAGATTCTATAATTGCCTTTGACATTAGAAGGCATATTTGACTATCAAAGAACAAGAGACCTAAATTAATCCAATTCAATAGAACATTGATGAGGTCTTCCACAATACTAGAAAAAGAAAACACACCCAGAACACTAAAAAGCACAATGTAAATGTAAATAGCTTGGCAAATGGGAAGTTTGGCAGGCCAGCAGCTGTGTTGAAGCAGTGGCCATGTATGAATACTTGTTATTCTTTTGGGGCTGGCTCTTCCCTCTTCAGTCATGTACCACTTATTTGCTCAAGTCCCAAGAACATGCTTTCATTTGATTCTATTATAAATTATAATTGATGTTCTTAATGGAAATATTTTCAGCTGTTATTTATTTTAGTATTGTGCAATGACCAAACATTTTCTTAGTGTATAATTTGGTATTCTTCAACAGTGTGTCAAATTTGTGTATTATTATTATGAATCAGACAAGGTGTATCAATGCCAAATGATGATGAGAAAGAGTGTTCACTTTGCTCCCTCTCTCACATGCCTTCCCATGAAACCATCAGATCCCTGGATTTCCTGGTCTTTCTAGATTCACAGACATACTTCAAGGGCTACTTAGTAATACTACAGGCTTACTACTAGAACTTGTGGCATCTTTAATAATGGTATAAAAATATTTGTCATGAAAATAATTTTATTGACATAGTAAAGTACAAAATAAACATTACTAATTAATTTAATGTTTATAAAAATGTAACATTTGTTTTCCTTTAATTTAGGATTTGTATGACTTACATCACACTTAAGAATAAATTGAAGGTCCAATTTTTTCTCCCATTGTAAGAATTTCTCATTAGTGTAATGGTTGCTAAGAAATCATAGCCAATCCTAAAGTAATTAAGTTGTTAATTCACAAACAATTTGAAAAACAAATTATAAAAATCACTTTCAAATTTTTTTGAAAAATCACTTTTATTATTGGATGTGGGAACACTCATACATATTTGATATAATGTGGGGGAAGATATGACAGTTTTTAAAGGTTCTGAATGTTCTTTAAATTTTTCTCCAAAGAAGTAAAGACATTGTCAGAAACTACCTGCTTCAAACACCAAATACTTTTCAGTTCTCAAATCTTCACATTACTTAGCACGCAAAGTTTTAAAAGATCATAAGAAATTTGTTTTCTATTTTGTTATAAACTATACTTGTTTAATTCTATTTTAATAGCTATCATTGAGATAAAATCATACTCCAGGAAGAAGCATTATATTTACTTTATGGGTTTATTTGAGTGTCTGTGACACACTGCCCCCGGGAAGTGTGAGTTCTACAGTTTAGACTGAAAACTCTTGACAGATGATGGTAGCAATTCTCTTCTCTTCCTTATTCTTTTTTTTTAAAAAATACTTTATTTATTTAATTTTTAAAATCCTCAACCCAGGGTATTTTTCCATTGATTTTTAGAGAGAGTGGAAGAGAGAGGGAAAGAATGAGGGAAATATTGATGTGAGAGTAACAGATTCATTGATTGGCTGCTGTAGGAGCCCCAACCAGGGCCCTGGCCAGGAAGGAGCCTGCAATGTAGGCACATGCCCTTGACCTGAACCAAACAGTTCTTTGGTCCGCAGGCTGACACTCTATTCACTAAGCCAAACTGGCTAGGGCTTATTCTTCTTTTCAGGAAGATGTTAAGAAATTATTACAGCCAATTATAAAAACTTTGGCTTGAGGAAAAGTTCTGAAGAGGTTTTCTTTGTTGTTGTTGTTTTGTTACCACATAATAACATCATATGCCTGTTGTGTAACAGTTTATATACACTTATAGGGAAACTAGAAAATATTCTCTGACAATAATCCACATTGTTCCTAAGGATTAGCTTGAATTCCTCTTTCTCCAGTCTTCTGTAAAAGTTGACCCCAGACCCACTTCCAGGAATTGCATTGATTCTTCCATGCTCCTCTCTGTTTTTTCTAACTAGTACATAATAATTCCACCTTTAGCCACAAACCAACTAATTCTTGGGGAATTAGGCCTGTCTCCATTCACCTCAGGGCAAAATTGCTCCCAACTACTATCCTTATATCCAGCCAGTTTATTAGTTTGAATACCTGGAATCCTAACTTTAACAATCCTCTCATTCGCCCTTTCCTGGGTTTTGGGTGCATTAGAAGTCCCCCTTTGATCTCTTGGTCACTATAGCTCAGTTGGTTGAGCTTCATCCCATGCACCAAACATTTGCTGGTTCTATTCCTGGTCAGATCAAACCCCTGGTGTTGCTTTGATCTCTGGTCTGGGTGCCTATAGGAGGCAATCAATAGATGTTTCTCTCTCACATCAATTGTTCTCTCTCTCTCTCTCTTTCTCTCTCTCTCTCCTCTTCCTTCCTTTCTGTTTAAAATCAAATAAACATATTTCTTTTTAAGTCCATCTTTTTGATAAGTCTCCTATCTTATTGTCTCATCTCAGTGAACTGGAGCTCCTATTCTTTCCCCATGGATGCTACATATCCTTTTAGAGAGGACTTGGTTATGTCTTAATGGTCTCTGTGTGCCTGGACCTAGCACAGTGCCTTGTACCCAGAAGAGCTTATGTAATGTTTGTTATTGAATCAATTAATAAATGAATTAGAGTGTGAATGGATATTGCCATGCTATGACTGATAGAATGGTAAATACTCAGTGAGTCTTAAGGGATAGGAAAGAATATTTGGGGCTAGAAGTTGTGTTCAGGAAATTTTAGATTGATTTTTCCAAAGGAATGGCTTGCCCAGAAATGTGAGATTAATGAGGAAAAGAACTTATGCAATTTAGGTGTCTGAGAGTACCTGACTCATGATGCCCTGTCCTTTCAGCCTAATTTGCCCCATCATACCTTTTTCCCTTGGCAGGAGCCTTTATTAGTACAGATAATGATGGGCCTGGGTCCCCTGTTGCTGG